AATATTCCGTCTCTGTAAACTGTAGCTTGGAAAAGCGTCCATAAAAACAGTATATAGTGATTTCAACGCGGCAAAAAGAACAAAAAAGATCACGTTATTTGATTAGACCTAATTACATTTCTGAACGCAATTAACTTCCACATATCATTCCCTTTGTTTTATGACTTGGCATTAACAAACTTGCGCTTGCTAGATTCGAACAATGAGTTAAGCTAAATTGTTCTGTATGCGTTGGGAATAAGGTGTATAAATGCGAATTGAACTACGCAATTCAACGGTGGACATAGATGTCTAAGGTCGAGATAAGTTGCCATGTTATTATAGCATAATTTACGATGCAAATTATTGCTATTTTGTTAATTTTCATTCGCAGTACAAACTACAGATGCGGCTCGTTTGATATTAATATCCTTCCAACCCTCCGAGCTGATTATAACTTATCTATAAATTAAAGGTGCGCAAAAAGTTTTTGACTGTGAAAAACTAATGTGATAATTATGTAGGCAAATAATAATTAAATTCTATTTTTGTAGCAGAGATTGAACGCGATGTGTTGATTGGGTATAATGTATCATACAGAAAATAATGAAAAATAGTGACTACCAAGTTGCAGAATCAGATATTTTTTAATGTTCTTGAACTGTTACTTATGTTTATACATTGGTATATATGGCGTTGACTAGCAATTATTTACCTACTTACCGTGTGGGACACATAAATATGTCTGCCTCGTGCTACACGTCGAAGAAAAGGGATTTTACTTATAAGTTACTTAATAGTAACTTATAAGAAAAAGTTAGATAGTACACCGATTTCAAATCGACAATATTTAACTAATCTATTCTGGGGTTTTACCAGTTCAAAGTGTATTTCTAAGATGCGCAAACCGAGGCAAAATATAAAAAGTTAATTATTTTCCCTTCGTTTTGCTTATCTATACTAATATTATAAATGCGAAAGTAACTCTGTCTGTCTGTCTGTCCGGATTTAACGTCGGAACTACAGAAACGGTTTAAATGAAATTTGGTACACAGATATTCTAGATCCTGAGAAAGGACATAGGCTACTTTTTGATGCCAAAAAAGAGTTGTTAGGGATTGAAAAGGGGGGTGAAATTTTATTTATGGGAATGGGAGTTAGAGTGATGTGACCACACCGATCGGCTGCTTTGAATGCGCCCTTTTATAAATAAATAAACAGCCTAAATAATTACACGCGGACGAAGTCGCGGGTACAGCTAGTTCGTAATATATCGACTTTTTAATAATGACAAAAGCAATACCAACAGAGTCTCAATTGCATTGGTCTATACCGGGAATTACATAATTAAGTAGTACTGCAATCATGGGCAATAAAGAATTTATTATACTTTAAACCCTTAAATTACACTGCAACAAAGTCACACTTGTATATAACCACAAATATACTACCGCATAAAACATAGGTCAAAGAGAACTCTACGTGCTATTTATAATGTGCTTATTTTTATATCATGAAATATATATTTTTTAATAGAAATATAGATTTTGAATAGAACAATGCTATAATGCTAATACTAAAATATTTTGGAATTGTAAATTTAGCTTTTTTTTAATTCTATTGACGTTCATAACTGTACCTAGTTACCTACATAAATAAATGATTTTTGTTTTTGTAATCTGTACACAATAATCACATACAAAAAATACTTCTTATTTTTATCTATTTCCATGAAAAATTATATTCAGAAATCGGGATTAGATCCTATCAAGTTTATAATAAGCGACAATTTCAACAATTTATCTCTGTTGTATTTTTCTGTTTTTATCTGACATTAATTAACAGAATTACGATTTAAAATTTTATCATCTAAATAAGACCGGACGTGTCCGAAATTGAATTATACTAATGCAATTAACTTCTTACATAATCATTATATCACCATAAATATTATATGACAAGAATTTGAAAACAACAAAAAGGAAACGGGAAATTGATAATTTGATAATACTCCGATAAGATAGTACGTTATTTTGCAATATATGGGTGTTAAGATATTTTTTCTGTAGTTGGAATAAAGTGAAAAAATCTATACTAATATATAAAGCTGAAGAGTTTGTTTGTTTGAACGCGCTAATCTCAGGAACTACTAATCAATTCGAGGAAGGTCTTTTAGTGCTGGTTAAATATTTCGATGCGGCCAATAGAAGCGAAGATGCAAAAGGAAATGTGGAAGAAACGAGGTAAATTATGTATCTTTATGGCTTTCCGCTACGTGCGCTGTGAAAACGGTTTATGATACCCAAAAAATATCTACAAAAGAGCGATTCCTCTTTAAATGATCTAAAAAATGTCCAGAAATTTTAAGAATAACTGGACACGAACGACGTTGTTGGTAACAGCTAGTAGTCTTATATAATTGATTAAATTAGTTGATTTCTACACGTAGTACATACAAGATGACTGTATGCACTTATAAACAACTCTATTAGCAGACGTCATCGACACTTTGTTGACCTAACAGGGAAAATGAGATATTGTGCAAAAAATCCCGTTTTATAATGAACGCAACACAATTCTCTATGCGATAAATTCGTACCTAGAAGTGTCTATTTTTAAGTGCCTCCCTTTTAATTGACGTTTATGTTTCCTTTTAGGCTTAAAGTGTTTCTAAAAACGAATTGGTTGTGTTTACAAAGTAAAATAAGGAAATATCTCTTTTGACATGTGAAAATCATTTCTCATCATTAGACAGGCATGGTTAATATGCTCAAGTGATGGTACACTTGAGGTCATATTATACCCCAGCCTATAGCATCTTAGCAAGATGTGCTGGAACCGAAAGGCGATTAAGCTTCCTAGTGGTTCCTGGATGGAAATCTGGTATTCCTAGCACCTATTTAATATCCAGATTTCCAGGAGGTCAACTATTATAAATTGAAAAATTAGAAATTTGGACCCTGTGGCTATAGAAACTACGACCTATTTAAATAAAACACTTTAACGGTTTAAAACGCGATAGATTAATTAAACTTATTTGAAAATGATTTTTAACGACACGGCTGCTGCAAAGCGTATATACTAATAAAAAAAAAAAAAAAAAAAAAAAAAAAAAAAAAAAAAAATAATATATTGTAACCAATATTAACTACGGCGGCCTTTCGCGTTTTAAAACGTTACAATTGTTTTCTAAGTATTGTGTGTAAACTACATACAATACTCATAAAATCGTAATAAAAATTATATGTAATCGAAGTAATTAATATTATTGCAATTAATACATCCTTCCGCTGGCGTGACTCTTAAAAATTATCTTATCTACAATAGTTGTAATCGAGTGCTCGAGTCGATTATGTAAATTCCGCGTGTTAATCGTCGATTGATTAATGAACGGGAAATTGGATAATTCGCTTATGATTGTTTATTGATTTTGAAACACTATTTTTTATTTGTGAGTCCGCATAAAAAGTCCTTTGAGGATAAATGTTTATTTAAACATTGTTCGTGCATAGCGCTGTGCGTTGTTAACTTTACAATTTAATTATTTACAGTGTAGAGTGCTTTTATTGTATTTATACTCTGAATTAAATTGGCAAAGCACGTAAAAACCGACGCACCTTGACTTATCGCATAATGCAATTCCGTAATAGCGCAAAACGTACATTTTACGTAACGGTATTGAAAATTAAGTGGCAAATATTATGACGTGTTACTCGCAAATCTACATAATTATATTCGAAACGCAAGCAGAAACAATTTGCGAATTAACTTTTGTAATTTGTCGAATTATCACACGCGATCTGCATAACTCGATCGATGAAGTTAGATTTCACGACTTCCGTTCTGAAATGTTCGACGCGATAGCTTGTAGTTGTAGAGGGTATTTATAAATAATTTAAGATAAACTAAAAATTGATTTTTTTAATGACAATGGAGGAAATATAAGGTGAACTAAGCCAGCCATAGACCAGATGCGACTTAAAACCGAAACTTCTTTATTCTTCTTCTTCAAAGGCTTCTTGTAATAATAGATAGTTTCGAACCGTTTAATACCCATAGTTTCATAATCAGACGAAGTCTAACTTACACGTGACTCTAACCCACCAATTGATTATTAGCCATAATTTATTATTAGAATATCGAGCCCATCGTCTATAGAATTTAACCGAATTCGCAGAAATAGTTTTACAACCAATTAAACGACCATTTACGGTAAGATCAATAACGCTAAGAATCCACAATTAATATGCACAAAGCTAGTTTGACCTCAATTTCTCGTAACCAATCGACGTTTAAGTTAATGCTATTAAATTAATTACTTGATGATTATACTGTCTTTAATTGGTCCATCATTACGTTCACGAGAAAAATAAGACATACAGACGAAGGTGTATGTGCTAGAATGTACATTAAACTCGACTCGTCACTATGAACGTATTTCTCGCTGCCAATTATCTTACGGCTTAATTAAACAAGAGGCCTTTGTTACTGTTAAATTATAAACCAGGCTTACATTTTGAAATTAGAAGTATGAACAAACTGTTGATTTATGTTATTTTTTTTAAACTTGCTAAGCCTTTCGATTCTCCTACTACCCATTTAAGATACAGATTTGTTTCAGATAAAATATAAATTCATTAGAAACATGTTAGACCAGGTGGGGATCGAATCCGGGACCAGTTGATCATTGGAGATGTATTGTTACTATTAGCATTACTAGATTACAAGATAACAATTATTTATTTAATTATCATCATTAAATTATAGACAATAATAATTTATTAAAAATAGATGGAGCAGATATGGCTCGATGGACCTTTATTTAATCTTTTCCGAGAACTAAAAATTTAAACCACCTGTATCAAGTTAGATCAAGATTTATTGAGCACAATAATATTAGGATGAACAATTCTTAAACACGTTTATCATCTTGCAAACGCAGGAATTTGTTTAGACGTCTAAATTAATAAAATCAATGCATTTCAGAATACTACGCGCAAGAGTACCAGAAGTACACAAGTATGGGTATTTCCGAGGCTAAAGACGACTCGCCACGAACCACGCCAGAACATAGAGCGGACCAATCGCCATCAGAGCGTGCGCCCCAGGGCTCCGCAGACAGCGATGATCCTGACGACTTCGCTCCCAAACGGAAACAAAGACGATATAGAACAACATTCACCAGTTTTCAGCTTGAAGAGCTGGAAAAGGCCTTTTCTAGAACTCATTATCCTGATGTTTTTACAAGGTAAGTTGACACATATGTCTATGAACTATTAATAACAAACAATTACAAATTATATTTAGAATATATTGAATGAAATAAAATTCTTTTTGGTTTCAAAACGTGGATTCGTCAATTTATTTTTTCTGCAATGCTTCGATTCGGAAGCCATCGTGGTCACGGGGATCTTTCATCTTAGGGAATATTTCTTTTATATTTCCAATGTTCGAACATTTAAAATGTGTAATTTTATGTTCTCTGAAACTTAATTCTACCGCTAACCACATCTAGATATGTTAGTATTTTAACTTCCTGTTTGTATGTTAACTTCTGTGTTATAACTTTGCTTATAATTGACTTTAATTCGTAATTATATAATATATATATTCATAATGTTCTTGTGACTTGCTAAATGTTTTATCGTATCGTATAAAATACTGAATAAGAGGTATTTATTTATCATAAAAGGGATCAATAAATTATTTATCTAAATGATGCATTGCCGGATGTCGGAAACGCTTATCATTTGAAATCAAATAACGAGAATTGAAATTTCGCTGATTGTCAAAACTTGTTTGGTCGTATCTAATGTTTTTTCCATTTAGCATTCCTGCACATTTCCTAATACGATAAAGGTATTAGATACCGTCAATTGATTTACATTGCTTCTTATCTGTTTCTTGCTATTTGACGCCCATACGGCCTTACTGATTTTGATCTGAAGGACAATCGTGTAGTGAAGCGAAAAATACCAGTTCTGTAAGTTCCGGAAGTTTGTCAGATATCAGTGCCGCGAGTATTTCTCGGGATTTAAAGCCATTTCGCACTGAAATTTCATGCATGGTGGTACTCGCTACTAGTCTTTTAAGATATTCCTTTATTGTTGCAGGGAAGAACTTGCTATGAAAATTGGTCTAACAGAAGCAAGAATACAGGTAAGAAAAAATGTTTACAAAAAAAAATCATATTAAATATTAACTAACAATGATCTATTCAACAAACGGTTTTGTCTTAATTTTTAGAATTAGTTTGGCCAAAAGCAGAAAAGTAGTGGGTAACTGTTGTACTTTTAACAAAATATTTTATTTATTAAATAAATTAAATTAAATAGATATTTTGTGTCTGCTTTATTTAAACTCATAATGAGATTACACTTTAGAATTAAATTGTAATCTATGTCAACATAATATGAAACGGAAATTGGTAATTATAGATAGTGGACACAATTTAAGATACTGGCAATCAATAAATAATTCGAGTAAAAAAACATGATTGTCATGACCACCTAGATATTACTTCATGACCATCGTAGATGTATTGAACATCCAAAGACAATTTGCTCGTTATGTGGTCATAGACAAGTGCGCTTTCTTTTTATATATTCAACTAGCGACGCGCCCAGTCTTCGCTCGGGTGCAATGCTGATACTAAATACACTACAGAAAAATATAAAAACCTTCCCCTTGAATTACTCTATCTATTTAAAAACCGCATCAAATTCTGTTGCGTAGTTTTAAAGATTAAAAAGCAGGTACATAGGGACAGTAAAAGCGACTTTGTTGTATACTATAAAGGAAAAGGAAAATACAAATTTAAAAGTAACCATGACTGGTATTATATGACATATGTTTTATTGTTTATATATTATTATAATTGTGTGTTTATATTTTTTGATAATTTATTTAATCGGCAATACGTTGGAATTTAAATCGTCTCATTATTACATAATAGTTACAAACGTTTTATCTCCAATCTTGATCCTTACGTAATTTAATTAATAATTTAGATTATTCTTATCAACGCTTTTTTTTATCAATATTATTAGATTTATAAGGCTTTTGTACAAAATATCGATTTCTACAAAAGATAACACTTGGAAATACCCAATTTGTTTGCTATATTGATACATTTATTTTTATATCAACCTATAAAAATTAATGATTATTTTTTATAATAAAATTCTAAAGTCTTAATTCAATATACAAATCAAACAATTGTACTGTAGTCGTTCAAGTCGTTTTACACTATGTTAAAAAAAACACATTTTAAGGGTTTAACACAAATTTATAGAACAGATGAAAGATCACCTATTTTTCTGTTAAACTGATGTTTTTGGCGATTTTTAAATCTTTTTTCCACAAAAAAACATCTAGTGCTTGCAGAGCGCGAGTTTTAATGAATACAAGTTATTACAAAAAGGTTAAGTTTAGATTATGGTCAGTAATTACTTGCCTTGGTTCAGCCGCCTAGGATATAATTTTAAAATCAATGTATAATACAAATTCACGCAGAGATCATGTTTACGACTATTTGCCGCAGTCATTGAGAAGCATTGCCCCTCATACTTCAGAGCATAACCTAATTGGTCCTGGCTATCCACGGCAATAAATTAAAGAGATAGAGCGTAGAGGCTGGACACAAAATGAAACATTAAAATTTGATAACGCATAATAAATTTACCTCGCTCTCGTAATGTTTTTATCACGGTAATGATATATTACTCGTCTGTACGTCTTCGTGACAGTAAGGAGGCATTTCAGAAATTATTGGCATAAACGTGGAGGTAATTTCGCTATTTTTACCTGTCGTCATCGAAGCTAGGAAGGGATGGTAAAACACTTTAACGGTTTAAAACGCGATATACATTAGGTATTATTTGACTACGGCCGGCTTTAAACTGTAATTTTTTTATTTAAATGTGTAGGTATTACGCGTACACTACAGTATTTAGGGGAAGGTAAATTCTTACTACTCTATGCTCCATATTTAACTATTTCGTTGATTTTACTGAAAAACGTGACAAATAAGACGTAATACGGACGCAGAATACAGGAAATATTTTTTATAGAAACGTATGACAAATTTAAAACGGAAAATAATATAACGCAATAAAGAGTTTTTATTATTATTATAACTTGTTTTTTTACAAGATGTAATTAGGTAAATACCTAGTAATTAAATAATAAGTTTTAGTTTTTCAAATTTTTAACCTCAAAATTTTACATTTTTGAGCTGGGCAGAATATACCAAATATGGTTTACATTTTAAAACATTCTGTCTACGAAAAATATTTATTTCACCCCAACTTAGCTTTCAAATGTTACGATAATGCCTTCGAAGAAACGATAGACATTTAAAAAACAATTCGCAATGCAACCTCTAAATAGCGCTTGAAATAATTATTGTTGCCATGATAAAGTTATTAACATCATTCCAAAACGAACTTTATTTCATAAATGCTCGGTACAAAATTGAGCCGTTAAAATTCGCCGACTGTTGGAAAAAAATACTGCATTTGTAACCATAAAACGAGGGAGTCCATTCTTTATAAGGCAGTACGGCTAATTTGGTGACTTTGTGACGTGGCCAATTTGACGATATTGGTATGGTCACCAACAGGACTGATATTAGATCGAATTTTAGTTAAGCAATAATTTGGTTTTCGATTAAGTAAACTGAAGGCAAATCTTCGTTAAAATACGGAAAATTCTAAATTGTTCGCGATATCCGCAAGCATTTTGAAAGTAGCGCTTACAACCTTAAAAATCATATAATTATTATTTATGTAGCTTAGAGGATATTATTTCAACTTTATAATGCACTTTGAGTCTTCCATGAATTAAAACTACAGATTACAAAATCTACAATCCTGATTTGATCAAACTACTATTCCTGATTTGGATTGTAAAAATATATTTTTTCTCACATGGAAATGAGCGTACTAGAATGCTTGTATGGCTTTTTATTTACTATGCATAGCTAATCCTCCAAATTTAATCCAAAAATCCAAAACAGCAAAGTTACTAAACGTAAAAGACACATTGAACTTCACTTACCAAAGACAAAATATCTAATAATTTTTAAATAACAATTATCTATTCTACATTTTATTTATTAATAACTGTAATTCCTAATTAATAAAAATAATAATATAAAAATGTCCTAAGAAAAGAAAATAGCTATTCACCCACATCGCATTCACAACGCACGGCTCATAACGTCGACATTTAAAGAAACGCACAGAATTTTTTACACTTGCGCATTTATCATAAGTGAATTAATTTAAATCACCATAAAATGAAACTTTACATAATTATTACCTACTGCTTTACGTCTGAGGTTTTTATAATTAAACTCATGTATTATTTATGTGACGTATTGAATACGAATCAATCACTATTTATTCTTTTGACCTATCAATTCATCAATTTTTGTAACAACAAGAAACACGTCAATGAGATTATGAAATTAATAAACATGTTGAATACGTTAAATACAAATAGCTATAAGTAGTAAAAAATGGTTTTTAAAATATTTCTAAGCTAACCCAACCTTATGCTAAACTTCAGATTCGAGATTTAGTAGAAAGTTACTTGTTCTTTTTAATAACTAATGATTTACTGTTTATTTAGAATACAAGACGTATAATTACGACTATATGTTATTTTTTAAATATTTTATCGTATTTAGTATCTTTAAGTATTTTGTGAGGTCTCATGATATAAAAAAAAATCAAAAATTGAACTAGCGTGTCAATTGGTTAGAGTAGCAACACGGAACGCTGCAAATGGCGATTTGAGTTCCGTCCTTGTAAATTATTTACAATCTAAATAAATTTTTAAATTATATAATAACATCATTTGAAGTAACATATGAAAATAGTGAGAAGAATATAAGTTTTAAATGGCGCATGATAGTCATAGTGACTGACGTACAACCAAGCTTGATACAATTCTACGCTCAAATCATGAACTAATTTACTTACATACATAAATAAAATACCAACCAAATAATTAAAGCCTAAAGCGCTGACCCAAAATATACGTACAAGTAATTAATAAAGCTAAATGGAACTCAATCAACGGGGGTCTCAAACCATACTTCATTAAAGTTAATTTCTTTGCGATTTTACTTCCGTATATGGTTTGGACGAGACGAACTTTTGTAACGTATACAGTGCGATGCAAAAAGTGAAAACATGCTGTTCATTTAATGACTGAGACAAATAGTTTTTAGGCAAACCCTTTTTAGGGGTAATTTAAAGACTTAATAGTACACAATACGAAGATATTAATAGTAACTACCAACAATGCTAAAACAGAAATAAAGAACGTTGAACAAGACACACGCAAAATAAATAAAAAAAGAGGTAAACCTCTGTTACCTTCCAATTAATATTCTAACCCATTGAAACAGAAATATTTTATAACACTATTTTAATGACAAAATTATACAGAAATCATCATCAGGCGAAAATTGAATCCGACCAACTTAGAGAAAGATTAAATACCGTCTGGTTACGCGAGTAGTCCACATTTAAATAAAACACTAACGGTTTAAAACACGAAATGTATTTTAAACTTATTTGGATTTTTTTTTAACTACGGCCCGACCTTTCGGATGCTTTCCAGCAGCCGTGGTCACGGGGAGACAAAAGTTAGAGAGTGCCACACACGTTACAGTGAAACAGCATGTTTTCAGTTTAAAATAGAGAAATATTTCTTTCCTTATCAACATTTTTTAATTCTCAATTTGTTGCAGGTGTGGTTTCAAAACCGTCGCGCAAAATGGCGGAAACAAGAGAAGGTTGGACCACAGGCACACCCCTACAACCCTTATCTGGGTGGAGCGGCTGCTCCCCCGCCATCCGTGGTCGCCTCAATGCCGAATCCCTTCTCACAGCTCAGCTTTGGCTTTAGGAAACCATTTGACGCAAACTCGCTGGCTTCATTTCGGTGAGTCGACTTTGAAAATCGTTTAGTAAAAGACAGATCTTTAGTGTAATTTTTCTAACGTGGCAATTTGGTAAACAAACAAAAGACTTGCATTGATTTACATTAAACACTTTAAGACGCTGTATTTTATATTAAACTAATTGACCTACCTCAAAATAAAAAGAGTAAAAACCACAATTTCATTCAAAATTAATAAAAATCCTAAAAATGTATGTAATGAACTAAATATATTTTTTAGTTTGACATTTACATAGGGGTGCAAGCAAAGTTAAGGATAATATATAAGATAGAAGTCCCACTCATTCACGATTGCTGAAAAGCGTTAGAAACGTTGAGTTAAATAAAAATAACAAAGTAAAATTATATATTTTGTAAAGGCCTATAGAGAAACCTTTCTTTTAATGTCGAAGCAAAATAAGAATACACAATATTCAAAAAAATTAAAGCCTTTTATTAAAAAAGTAAGATTGAATGCTAATTGTCTATCTCTCCCCAGATACGCCGGCTCCCCAGTGATCGGGTCACAATACCTAAGCGCGCCGCTCTCCCGCCCGCCCATGTTTACCTCACCCATGTACACCTCTGCCCCACCATTTCACTCCCTTCTCGCCGGGCTCACAGTTCCTCCCCGACAATCGCCAGATCCACCCCCCGTTTCCCCCCCTATCTCCCCCGGTAGCGAATCACCTCCAAACCAACCACCCGAGGTGGAACGACGGAGTTCTAGCATCGCAGCTCTTCGGATGGCAGCGAGGGAACACGAGCTAAGACTGGAAATGCTTAGGCAGAGACACCATACAGACATGATCAGCTGAACTTTGTTTTCGTACGTATTACGTAATGGTTTTAGACGTTTTGGTAATCGACCGAGCTGTATGTGCTGAGGGTACCCAGTATATAAGGATATTAAAATGATACACTAATCGTGTATGGGTTCGTATATTTTAAGTGTTAATATTACCAGCGCGCACAAAATGTACAATTATATTATTTAATAATGGGCTGTTTGAAAGGTTTGCACTATTAGATAACTACGCACTATTTTTGTATTTAAAGCTAAAAACTCAAATGGGTTGTTTGTGTAATTTCAAATACGTGAATTGATTAGTTAAGTTGTATCATAAAAGGTGTTTAGAACAATCATCCGTCCAGTTGCCTTATCGTTATTTATTGTAGTTTATAAGATAATGTACATAGATTTTAATTCTATATATGTACAACGAAAAACTTAATCGTGTGAAAATATTATTTTTTTCATTCAATTTTAGTTCAACATAATTAAATGTTTGTTATGACCACATGTGTCTTAATTTGTATGAAACAATGCAACAAATTTATTTTTTTATTATCCTGTCTGTCTTATCATTGCTTAGTCTAAATTGAATTATATAATCTTAAACATATATTTGTTTCATCCGAAATTTAAGATATAAATATCATAATGTATTACTTTTTCTAAGGGGCCTTGTAAAGCCTTCATCTGCCACGTCAGACAAAGACCTTAGATGTTCTCCTTTTCGTAGAGCAGGTCATAATGACAATATTTACACGTAACTTCCGACTTTACGAACGGAAGTAGTAGGTCTATATACTACAAAACAAAACAAATAAACAAGTTTCATTTAAATCTGGTATATTTTTGATATGTATAATATACTTACAGTGCTTTTCGTTGTTATAGAGTACCTATAACCGTCTACCCAAAAATAGTATATATTGAAATTTAATTAAACATTTCTATGTTTTATATAAATTAATCTTTACGTATTCTAGTACTTCGTTATATTTAAATAGTGATCCTTATGTTATGTTCCTCTTTAGATGTACCAGCGATACAAATTAATGTCATTTCTGTGAAATAATCTCTCTCATTTCTGTTTCATTTTGCATAGACTATAAATGACATAAAAAAGTTTAATTTACCCAAATGCTATTCTAGTTTATGTTGTGTATTTTGTTTTCTATTTTCTATGAATTGTACAATAAATACAGGATAACATGTTAAAATATTTTTGTGTTTTATTTTCCTCACATAATCTTACACGTCGTTGACTTAAATTAAATAAAACGTATTTATTTATATTTTTGATTTATAGCCCAACAGATATAGTCATAGTTTATGGAAGTTATAAATAATGCAATAATTTTTATCTCGGCTTCAGTAAGGTATTGTAAGTTAGTGTCGAATTATAATTTAGTTCAATATATTATCCAAGTAGATTCATATTATATCAAGTCTAATTTTGCATACGTAGAGTAAAATCGGTCGTAACACTGTTATGTTTAAACGTGTTTTACATTAATTCATATTAAATTATGAGATAGCAAAGTATCGAAATATAGGCCTGTAGTGAAAAAATATTTATTTTATTTAATTATAAGCATAATCTACGATTACAGAAATATTACGTACATATTTCAAAGAGTGATGTTTTTGCCAAAAATAAATTAGCGAATATATTTCGAGTTTTTAACAGTTAATTTAAAACAATTTTTATTTTTATCAAAACAAGGCACCTTAGCACCTAAGGGTGTCTTAAATTAAAACGTCGTTTGAAAAAGAATCGACCCCTACAACTCATTTCAAAAATCAGGTAACTTACCAACAGTATCATCGGATCTTACCTTCATTTGTATATCTATGGAAATAATCAAAAATGCAAAACACCAACGCACGAGCGCGTAATGTGAAAGAGATTAATGTTGTGAAAACATTTAAAATCAATTTGCTAATTTGCATAACTACTGGCGAGCATCAATTTAAAAAAAAACACGACAGGCTATTAAGTTTTGAGCCGGACTCACTATTATAATTATCGAACCTCGGATCGGGGAACGAGTTTGATAAATGATATTGAACGCTTACTAGTTAATTACTTTTTAAAACTAAGACGAAAGTTCTTTTAAACTAATAGTACCTATCATATATAAGTATATAAGAGTATATATAAGTATTAAAGGTATCTAGCGTTGACTCTAAGTCAAATTTGAATCTCATATCCCTAGGTATTTATGACCAGACATATGTGTGTTCGTTTACTGAACGACTATTTACAGACACGTAAATTAGTATATATAGTCTATCGGGCTGTTCGACGTGAGCGAGAAGATAACGTGCGTACGGCATCATCAGGAGATATTAACTCCTCGATTGCTCGAAGTATTAAATGTAGCCGTCCGCCATGATGGCGAAACGTCGAGAACAGCCCGAAAAACAATAATATGCTACACGATGGCCGTGAAAGCCTTACGCAATTTATTAAGTAAATTAGTCTTTTGTGTCGAACTCTACGTTTTCTGGAAATTCAAGGATCTCTTGTATTTGTAAACCTGGCAACTAAATATTCCTACGTCCCATTTAATATCCAGACGATGTTCAAAATGTTACAGAAAAAATCAAAAATTAAATCGAAAAATGTTGGAAGAATTGGGGATCAAACCCGCGATACATTGCTACTATTACACAAACAATCCCGTCAAAGTTTAAGTAATGGGTTATTTTTAATCCATAATACGGTAATCTATAAATGCTTTAAGAAAGAACCGACTAAAGTCTGATGGCCTGAGCGCCGCATTATTCAATTTCAGCTTTCACCAGCAATCAATCACACATCGTACTCAGCATGAAATAACTAACCGTTGAAACCATACATCAGAGAAACAATAAACCGATGACACTCATTAATAATCTAATCGCATCTAATTAAAATGTAATCCAATAAGAAATTCAATTATCGGAGATCATAGATTCGTGGGAAGAACGTGGGTTTGATTTCAAAAGAGTTATTAATCTAAAATTCAATTATAATGTTGCTTTAAGCTAACTATTACGAGACTGCTTTAATGAGAAATCTGTAATTGCTTTCGTCGTCATCAATAGTAGACTTTGATTTTCAATTTTCATAGAAACTGTCATGAATTCGCTGAAATAAAGGAAATAAAGGAAATTCTATTTCCATTTGTTGGGCATGGGATGTACACATTTCTGTGTACGTTACACTAATCGGTTTTTTTCAGACGCAGAAGTTGATCAGACTTCTACGACCTTCTACAACATGAAAAAAAGTGACTCGTAAAACTAACTACTTAAACACTCAAATTCATATTATATTATATATTAATAATAACGAGAAATACCGAAATAAAATTTGGGAGATTAGAGATAGGAAAAAGAAAGTTCAATATAGGAAGAAGAAGAAGAAAATGCTTAATTAAAGGTTTTGAAGGAATCAAGAGGTGACAAAGATAAATCTAGATTTAAATTGAGAGTAGTTGTCGGTAGTTCGTTGAATAGCAAATTCGACTTTAGACAAAAAATATTCGGCATGAAATTATTGTGAAACAGTAGATAGTGTTTGTTGCTGTTTATTTTGAATTTTAAACGTTAAAGAGTATTCAAATAATGCTTGTCAAAAAGCTCTATTGATATAGTCTGACACATTCAAACACACATGTAAAAAACCCATTCAATAGATTTATCAACATTGTGCCCCGGTTAAAATAAATTGTGAATAAGTTTACTAGTATATCTCACGTATTTAACCTTTAAAAGTTATTTTATTTAAAAGCTCTATGAATCTAAAGCAATGATCTCGAGATATGTAAATAAAACAAACACGCCAACAGTTAATTTTATTATACGTAATGGAATTTTTATCCTATGATATCTAACGACTCCGCCTTCTGGGCAAGTTAAATTAATATGTTACTGAACAAGTAATAAGCTTAATGATGTTTTCACATACAAAACTAAATATTTTATGTATAAATGTTGCTTGTTTTTAACTTTGCAAATAAAAAGGTATTTGAAAATGGAAGTGTAAAGAAAACATATCTGTGACTGTTCTGAATATAATATCAGTAAATCGTGCTGTACTATGCCTGACCGGAAATATTTATGAAATAATGAAATTCTAAAACTTGCGCGGGTTTTAAAACACTTTTAACGTCGAGACAATTATTTGTTTGTTTTCTTTTTAACTAAGGTGGGTGTATCTAATGTCAAAGTCAAATCTGCTACGCTAGCCCCATTTGTCTCAGTAAAGTTAGTTTTTGGAGGAATCAATGAGACAGAACAACTAAAGGCGGAAATATTGAGCACAAATAATATTTTTATAACACTTAAATATCCGTCTTGTAATTACAATTCTTAAAGCTTTCAAAAGGAATGCAATATCAAATAAATAACACTATCGTTTTATAACGCTTGCCGCTCACCGCTTGTATTGGACCACAATCAGAGGCTCTGAAGTGGGCGGAATCTTCGCCAAATCTAATTATGATTTTTATTAAACTCCAGCGAAAATAACCATTTTTAAATTCGCTTCGTGTGAACCCGGGTGCGGTTGGAATGTTCTGAGAATTATGTAAAACAGGTGGATACAGAATTCAGTTTTAAATCTTCCGTATAATATAGGTTATTTGTTTTAGATAATAATTACTACAGACAGCTTCCGTCGTAAAAATTCTTTAACATTGTCCCCGAGCAGTCTTTGGTTCGAATTCCGAGAAAACACAATAAAATAGTTTTGAATACTGTCTATATTTACGCGAGTAGTACACATTTAAATAAAACACTTTAACGGTTTAAAACGCGATATATAGTTAAACTTATTTGAAAATATTTTTAATTGGCCCGACTTTCGGATGCATTGAGAGCCGTGGTCAGCGGGGAGACGTGGTCTCCCCGTGACCGCGGCTGCTGCAAAGCAATTAAAATAGTTTTGATCAAGCAGGGCATAATATTTATTGAATTTATATGCATTACATAAAAACCTCTAAAGACACAAATTTGTGTCTATGGGCTACACTGCAG